CCACGTTTTTTCAGACCCTGACTTGGGATTTTGTTCTCAGAGGCCCTTTTGGCCTTATCGGTTTCTCTGGTGGACTTATCGGTTGCTTACAGGACTGTCCTGGCGTAGAGTTTGGGTTGGACTTGCTGCTAACGTAATTAATTAGTTAAATTACATATATATATATATGTATACATGCATACACAAGTATATATTGGATTATATCGGGTGTATGTATGTATGTATGTATGTATGTATGTATGTATGTATGTATGTATGTATGTGTGTGTATATATATATATGTATACATATATATATATACATATTGCCTGTAGTGCGACACCTTCTGCAATATACATATATATATATACATATATCTATCTATATATGCATACATCTGCATACATATGCATACATATGCATACACGCCATACTTGCAAGCTTGGCAACTCTACTTGCATATAAGGTCTCCCGTTCCTACACCTCCACACGGAAGCTGTTGCACTTGACGCTTTTGATTTGCCATCTGTCTGGGATCCCGTTTAGTCTTCTTTGGTTGAGGCACCAGGCACCCAGTCAAGCCAAGGGCTGACAGTGACATTTATACCCGTAACCCTTGAACCCTTATGAAGGAAAAAGAAATCTGGAGACGATGAGCCCAAGGCAAAGGCTGAAAAGGCAGTCTCCAAAGCATTCGAGGTGACCTTCGAGCCCTTGTCCAAGCAAAAGGCTGACATGTCGTCCGAGTATGAGAACCTCCTTTGCCTTCCTCGAGGCAGCCAAGGTGCCCCAGCAGCTACATTTGAGGAAGGCGAGTGAGCTTCCAGGAGCATGGAAAAGGATGCAACGCGGGGCCACCAAATTGAAACGGGCATTCCTCTCCAAGTCGCTTCTCGACCCTTAGATACGCCTTGCGATGGGTCCTGAATTCACAACCCTGGAAAGGAAATGAGCTACCCTCAGAGCCACCAGGATGCTGCAGTTCCTGACGGAAAAGAAAACCGGTTGACGTAGCCCATAGTTGGATGTCAAAAAAGCTTTAAACAAAACCCCCCTTAAAGCCCCAAAGCAATGTCTTCATAAGTAGACGTCGGTTTTTGCGGTATACTGCACTATATCACGCCATAACCGGGTACTGTTACCAACTGTGAATATCCGCACACACACTAAGCTCTTGGGTTCTACACGGATTTGTGGGGTCGAGATAGATACCGTAGCCATTGTGTAGGGATTGCCAGGCATACTGGTACTAATTATTCAGACCTCTGCTCAATAGCCAATGTGGACTAGCTGTGTTCATGCCGTTCAGCAGAGACATGCGGGCCTGCCATCAATTCCTGCTTGACGCTTAATTACAGCCCAAACTTATTTTAAACCCTCAACCCCAAATCCTACAGGTGTACGGAATTTTCAACCGCTTGTAGACACTTCGAAGACCCGTGTAGAACTTGTACAAGGCTCCGTAATCCTCAAAGCCCCCCGGAGCAAATCGAAGTCTTTTGCCCTGAGGCATTGGCGCGGCGATTGCGCAGCTTGCCATGGGAGATAAGAACGCAGTCGAGGACTTTCAAATCAACATTCATGTTGCCTGTACTTGTTTATAGAGTTTCGGTTCTATAGGGGTAACGGTACTTTATAGGCCCAAAGTTCCCAGTACAGGTACTTAGGTGTACTTGTGGGTTCGTCCTTGGTGAGTTTCTGATTCATAGGTACTTGGACCCTTTAGGCATATTACAGACAGAGTTTGGAAGACTTCGAACATTGGGGCTCGGAGTTGCTATGAGGGTTTGTGGAAGGATGTTTTGATAGGCATAACAGAGTCTGTTTTGGAATATGTTATTATGTCTAGCCATTCGTAGCAGACCATAGTATATCATAGTGCATCATAATGTAGTATTGTATGTCACGAAAGAAAGTTTCAGAAAACATGGGAAAGCAGTCTCAGAGGCCTTCTCAGGATATTGGGCTCATACCTTTGTAGCATAACTTTAAAGTTACTACTATATACCAGAACGTATTATAGTATGTTTTAGTATACTGTACTATGTTATGATATATTGGATACTACAATATCCTAAACCAACATATTCTAATATGCCGTTTTCTAAATATACTATCAGATACTATAACATATTGGAACTTATTACAATCAGCGAGCTCCAGAAAACCAAAACTATCTGATTTGCCATGCATTGACAGCCGAAGAGCATCAAGGCCTAGAGTCCAGATTTTGGAATTCAGAGACGGTTAGAAGGGTCTATCAGGTTAGGGATTTAGGGTTAAGGCTGTGACGTTTGCTATCCTATAGTCCGGATTTGGGCATTCATCGACCAGGAAGGGTCTATCGGTTTAGGGGATCGGGTTTAGGGTGTAGGGTTCGGGGTTTGTTACGACTGACAGTGCTTTAAACTTGGGTCCCAGGCTACCCGCCCAAAGCTTGATGCCTAAACCTCGCACAAAACAGCCCACCTCATAAGCTACCACAACCTACCTTCTGGAGAGTCATCATGAACCCTTACATAAAAATTAAGGGGACCTTGCTAAACAAAAGCTTGTTTCGGTGCTTCAAGGTAGCACCCCAAACGGTACCGCGTATAGACGTCAACCCCCAAGGAAAGGACTGCGTGTCCTCTCAGTCTTAAGCCCCAAACCTACGCGCAAAACCCGTGTCAAATTGCTTGAAAGCCCTGGGGGGGACCCTTTTAAACCACCCTTTGAAACCCGTATCGAAAACGTCAATATAGAAGCCTGAATAATTACGCCAAACCCTTGTTCTGAATGGCTGGCCATTGTAGCAGATAGTAATTACTAAGGCCCCTACCTTAAGATGCCTGATGCAGAGGAGCTGGCAGCCCAAATCAGCGGGGCCCCCTGTGTGCCGCATGCAGCTGCCGTGGCAAGCAGCGCATCTTGGCAGCAGAGTCGACTTGCTTTTGAGGCCGGGGCATCGCTCAGGGTCTTGGGTTCGGGAGGTTTAGTGTGTAGGCTTGAGGGTTTTATTCCAGGTAGGATATATGAAGTCGGGCTACCATTCCCCGGATACTCTAAACCCTAAACCCTAAACCGTAAGCCCTGCTGTTTCGGAGGGGCTTTGGCAGTCGAGACCTGGAATTGCGATTGTTAGGATTTGGCGTTTGGGTTTGGGGTTTAGGAGCTTTAAAAGGCTTCAAGCCTTTCTAGATGTGGGTTTCTGGGTTCCTAGACGCTGCAACATGCCCGATCTTCTTGTACCACCGTGGTCCGTAAGTAGCTGTGACGGGAAGGTTGACCAACTCTTCAGGTCAAGCGCGAATCCATAGGTTCTCTGTGAAAACTTTGCGTGACCGTTGATAGGGCGTTCTTTATCTCTATGGGGCTTAGGTACCTAACGCGTTTGTTAGCTGTGTAGGTGGTGTCAATAGTTGTCATGACTTCTTCTTCCCTTAAATTTCAATTCCAAAGCCCGACAGCGCGAAACTCACTAAGCTCTTATAAGCCCTAAACCCAAAACCCTAATCTCTAAAGCCCTAAACCCTAAACCCCTAAACCCTCTAGCCCTAAAGCCTACAACCCAGAAGCCCTGAAACCCGAGAAGCCCTCAGCTTTGCTAAAGCCCCAACGTGCACAGCTCCAAGCAGGATTCAGGGCTTAGGGTTTAAGCTTTAGGGTTTAGGGTTTTTCAGGGTTTAGGATTAAGGGTTTAGGGTTTACGGTCCTTAAACCTCAAACCCTAAACCCTAAACCCTCCCCTAGCCTGAAGCGCTTGATCTCAAAACCCCTGTGGACACTCCTCTCATCGAGAATTAGCCCAGATCCCAGGATCACATCAACAAAGGTTTAGGAATTGCTCTTGCTCTTGCTATTACTGTTACTATTTCTATTCCGTTATTGTTCTTAGTATATAGACACCAAAACAAAGTACCCTTACGTTTTGAGAAACTGTTTGCAGAACTTTAAGTAATCACGGAGCATGTGTGTATCACTTGGTGCTGCGTGTCCGCTTTAGGATTTGGCGTCTCTAAACCCGAACCCTCAACCGTTTACATGGATAGGTTTTAGGGTTTGGGTTTACATGGAGTCTTGAGACAATGACATGTCAAAAGCCCTTGGGCCCGTAGCAGAAGGTAGGTGAAAGTGTATAGCCGTTACGCAGGGTTCATGGCTGTCAGGGCTTGTTGGGAACAGTGGTGAGTGCGGATGTTACTGCAGTGAATAACAACCTGTACACTTTTCTGCACAAGCGTCGAAGCCTAAAAATCGAGCAGGGTGTACAGCAGATGACAGTACATTTTTCTGAGTGGAGCTTCTAAAAAGGGTTTGCCTAGAGGACCTGCGAACCTAGCAATTCAGGGATCTGAAACAGTGTTAATCATAATTGTCCCTACTTCTTTGCAGTATAGGCTGCCTCAAATCATCCTGACCATTCAGGCCTCTACGTTAACTGTGATCGGTGCGCGTGTCATGTACATCACATAAGGCTTATTCTGTGTGTAAGTTCACTTATGGCGGACTGCCTAGGTCTCCCCATCTCCCTAAGAAGCCTGCAGCTTCTGCAGGAAACACTATAATATAGGGGCCTTAATATTAACGCAAAGAATCGGATGTTGGGGTTGTATTTTACTATAGCTATATCAATAAGGAGCCCCGAAAAAGAGGATGGGCAATTATCTAGGCCCCTTTGTTACCCCGAGCTCCTTTGCGGACTCCTGCAGTCGGACAAAGCTGTGAAATCAGCCCCTCAGCCCTAAACCCCCAAACCCTAAACCCGAAGCCCTAAGGAAAGCCCTGCGTCTTCGGTGTCAAGGGCTCGCGGTCTTTCGGTTTCCAAGCCAAGTCACAAAAGCCTAAAACCTAAGAGATTAAAACTGTATAGCCCAAACCCTGAAACCAATGAACCTAAGCCCCAGGCGTTCTAGAATCTCTTTAGATGTAGTTCAACCCTACATGAAACCGAAACTTCTTGCTCAAGCGGGTCTCGGGACAGTGCCCTGGGCTCGCCAGCGCGGTTTGCAATCGGCCTAGTTTCAGCTTACGCATTCGGCATGGAAGCTGCGCCTGGGTTGCTGTTAAGGGGTTTAGGTTTCGGGGAATATTTGGAGTTGGGGTTCGGGTTCAGGGTGTTGTATGTATTGATTCACTCGATTTCATAGTATGTTTTCGGCTTAGAGTATAGGGCTTAGGACCTGCTTTGACTTAGGCGGTTTAGGACATCTGGGGTTTAGGGTTTGGGTTGTTTTGTTTCATGTAGTCTTCTGAGAAACAGGTGACGATGGCATCCCCGTTACCGACGTCTGAATCAGAGGTGGGAGGGTTCTGAGAAAATGACATAATCAGGATCCTTACAAAGGAAGCCAGCTAGCCCAGTACGCTCTGCTTGAGCTGAATCATCTTCAGTGTCCCCCCGTACTACCCAGGATGATTTCAGAACGGGCATTTCTCATTCCAAGTGTGTGGCTAACTACCGTTTCAGCGGGTAGGGCTCTCAAGATTACCCTAAACTCTCAACCCTTAACCCAAACCCCACACCCGAAACCTGACTTCATAACAAGCTCTGCCGTCCTATAAACCCCTAAGGGTCCAAGTACCTAATAATCATATATACTCTCCCAAATAGTAAGCGACATAACTACTATCCGAAACCTAAGTACCTGATTATTGGGTCCTTTGGACCCTTAGGGAACCCTAAACCCTAAACCCTAAACCCTAAACCCTAAACCCTAAACCCCTAAACCCTAAACCCTGAACCCTAAACCCTAAACCCTATACCCTAAACCCTAACCCTTAAGGGAACCCTAAACCCTAACATGCCAGGTATCGGCGGAGCCGGCCGCCCTTGTATGGTGCTACGAGGGGTGTATGAAGTCGGAGCAGCAGAACAAGCGGGCAGAATTGCAGAGCCTTTGGTTGGTTTTTGAAGTATCCGTGGGATCAGGGACTAATTTTAATCGCCGTGGGTTTGTTTTGGCGAAAACTCAAGGCAGCAAAGATTCTCAAGCATTTCTTAGCTAGCTTTCAGAACCCAGGAGCATTGCGTGCAGCTGCGGCTGCCGATGCTTGTTCTACAAAAAGGCCATTGGCTTCCTGAGGTCCGCGGCTTTTAGCTTTTTGCTTCGGGTGTAGGGAGGGGGGAAGCTTGTGTTTAGAGGTTTAGGGTTTAGGGTTACCAAGCTCGATGAGATCGAGGTGGATGGAGCGCAAGACGCGTGGAGCCATCATTCTCATTGTGGACTGGCGTGAGGTGGGGGGTTGCACCAAGTCAGGCTTGCCATGCTTGATTGAAGGATCAGGGTATGTACCGTATTGAGCAAGTATGGTGCAAGTAATTAGGGCTAAATGTGGCAGCGAGCCCGATTAAGGTACACATACCTGATCAGCCTAAGTGTACCTTTCTACAGGCTGCTCAAGTAGCGACAACTCCCATATTGTCGGGGGGTCTTAGAGTTAATAGTGCTTAGTAGCCCTCAACATAAGTACATATAAGTACTACAACATACCACTAGACCCAAGGATTTTCCCTAACAGCCCGAAATCCTGAGACCATCATTACCATTCTGGGCACTCGGAAACCTTAAGTACGAACTTTGAGCAGCCCCCCCAGGTGAAGCCCATCGCCGACGGACTCTCCCCTCTGCAGCTGCAGGCCTTCTTCGCTGAGTAGTCTGGGGCCTTGATAAACTTCGGAGGGCTAATTGAACCCTAAACCCTAAACCCTTGACCCTGAACCCGTAAACAGTAAACCCTAAACCCTAAACCCTAAACCCTAAACCTGAGGCTACATGAACGTACGCTTCATGTTCAGGAAACCTGGGGAAGATGGCCAGTTCTCTAAAGTAGGGTCCCGTTGTAAGCCCCCCCCCCAAAAAAAAATACTACGGCACCCTTATTAAACATAAGAAGGACCCTCAAAGGGACCCTAGTTCAGAGAACTATCCATAAGGTTTCTGTTGAAGCTTCTACATTCGGCTCTTTCAGACGTAGAAGGCCTGGATCCCATCTCCGATTGCTTTGAGCCCCACACCCGGAGAATCCTGAACCCCCTAACCCCCATAGGGGTTTAGGGTTTAGGGCCGTTTAGGGCTTTAGGGTTTCGGATTTAGGATTTAAGGGTTAACACGAAGGCCCAAAACCCCCAAAACTAGGGACCCAAAAGACTACTAAAGCATAAGGATGGCACGTTGCTTGTAACAAACCCCTTGAGATGTAACAACAACAGTAATTCAAACATTTATCTTAATAACAAACATAGTGATAATGACAACAGTCACAGGATCCGTTGTTTATGCCAAGAGCTGGACGGCACCAAACCCTAAACCCTCAACCCTTATAATCCCTTATAGACCTCAGAGTAACCCTTCTAGAACCCTTACAGTCCCCTGTATATACATAGTACCCGTAAGTTAAACCCTGAACAAGTGAAGGATGTCCATATCTACGTCACCGCGCGGTGCGAGAAGTCCTTTCTCAATGCACAGAGTTGGGTCAACCACCAGCGCAGGCAGCCAACACAATAAGTGCATGATTAAAGGTCTAGACAGCTAAGTAACGTTACCTAATGATATGTATGTTATGTTCATTTTTACAAATACTACAAATAGATAGTTAAAATCGTAAGCTCCAGAAGAGCAGTGTCTAACATGGTTGAAGGTTTCGGGCTTGCGAGCTCTAGGGTTTAAGGCTTAGAGTTTAGGGTTGAGTTGTGCGACCACGATTCAGCCCTCGTCACGGAATGTTCCCTTCAGTCAGACAGGGCCTACTTGGTTATGATCTGAGGGACAGTCTCAACGTTGTACGATTGTTGCCTACATAGCTCCAAGGGTCCACATGCCCAACTAGTTATATACTTGAACCGTAGATAGCTCCCTGTATAGGTACTGTCAGGGCCAATGTATGTACTATGGGCCATCATGGGTTATTGGGCTCGTCGGGTGTTGATCCCATGCTTGGCCCTTTCATTCGTTTTCATCCGGCTTGGGTATGTTATGCTCGCAGACAGCCAGCTAGGTCGATGGATAGAAAGATAGGTAGCTAGGCAGGTAGAGATTTTGTAAAGCTTTCGATCAGGTTTGGCGCCTCTTTTTTCCGGAATACTTGAACACCCTGTACAACCCGTAGAACCCCCCTTGAAACAAGCCAAGCCTTGGCCATCTACCGTGCATGAAGCACTAGCTCACTGGCATACACAGGCACTCGATGGGGTTCCGTTTCTTCGGGATGTTTAGGGTTTATATCGTAGGGCTTCATCCTAAACCCAAAACCCCTAAACCCTAAAACCCCTAAAACCCCTAAAACCCCTAAACCCTACTTGCGCTTGCAGGCTTTGCGACATATCGGTACTGGAGAAGCTCTCTGAGGACAGTGTGGAGAAGTTGATCCGTCACCACATCGGAGAGACCTCCAGCCCAGCAGTTCTTCGAAAGCCACCCAAAAAGCCACTCGGTGGTTTCTAAGCGTTTAGGGTTTAGGGTTTTCTAGTATAGAAATCCTCTACAAACCCTTGCAGAACCCTTATGAAAGAAACCCTTTGAGAGAAAGTGTGGACGTCCTCTTTCTGACTATCAACCGAAAGATCCGGAGGCCGTGTGGCAGAAAAGCTGTATCCAAAGCACTTTAGGGTTTAAGATTCAGGGTTGAGTGGTTTAGGGCAAAAGACATCCCTGGCCCTAACTTGAGCCTAGGAGCGGGATTTCCCAAGAAGCGGGGTACTGTCCCTTAAACCCCAATCAAGCCTTGTACTGATTTTGGGTTTTGGGGGTTTGGGTTCTGGAGTTTAGGACGCTAGGATTAGAATTGCACCAGCAACTTACCATACGGGTAGCTTAGGCTCTTCGATTTAGCCCTTGCCTTTCCCCCTAAACCCAACGAAGCGCCCAACATCCTTAAACCTCGGCGAGCTCTTAACACCGCTGGAAACCTAAACTCTAAACTCTAAGCCCTAAGCGCCGGCCCTAAGAAACCCCAAAACTGTAAACCCCTAAGCCCCTAAACTCTAAACCCCATACTTTATTAACTTGGAGGGGGGGGGGTTCGGCCCTTCGAATGCGCTTTGTTGCAAGGATCACGATAAGGCGTCCCAGAAGGGCTCTACAAGTGATACTTCGGCTCTACAAGTGATACTTCGAGGACTCGTATACGGGTCCAGGGTTTACGGGTTCTTACGCCGAATGTTGAGGGGCCCTAAACCCTAAACCCCT